CCCCCCCCATGGGGATCCCTCACAGGCATATCACCTCACTGTTACCTGGGTACCTATCTCTATTGCTGCCCCATACAAGTGTGGTCTCTTTCCCACCCCCCCCCTCCCCCCCACACACAGTTCAGACTCAACCTTAGCTCCCTGCACAGCCCCACAGTGCCCTGCCCTCTAGGACAGAGGTAGGAAGTAGCAGCCAGAGGAGAGTGGGGGAACCCTGGAGACTTCACACTGTTGTTGTGGAGGAGGAGAATTTTTAAAATATAAAATGTAGCTGTTTTCATTGAACCTTAAACCAGACTTACAGAACTTTTGTTTGGGGCCTATATTCTCTAAACTGCCTTTTGGCTGTTGCATGTATTTAAAGCTTGTTGATGTTTAGCAATTTAAAAATATATATGTTGATTGATTTGTCTGTTTTGCAGTTAAATAGTGTGGATTTCCTTAATTGTCACTGTTTCTTTCATGTTTCCACAGCTGCGATCGGGTTATTGTATCCCTGCATGGACAGACATCTGGGAGAGCCACATAAGTTTAAGAGAGAATGGTCCAGTGTAATGCGATGTGTAGCAGTCTTTGTGGGCATAAATCATGCCAGTGCTGTATCCTATACTGCAGTGAAGTTACCAATCACATACAGGTTTCTAGTGAATCAAAGGTTAAACAGTGCATCACAATGTAATTGTTTCAAATATAATGTGCAGTTCTAGAAGGGAAATAAGGTTGTGTAGGTTAGGGTTAGAACTGTTACAAAACAACAGCAGCAACATTGTAGTTAATGAGCCTCATGTGTACAGGTTCCTAAAACTACTGCTTGATCTGAAATCTCTCATCCTTTGTTTTTTGGATTGTTTTTGTTTGTTTTGAATCTTTGTGGCAGTTTTTGAATGATTAAAACAAATAGAAGATAAAGATTTTTATGCCCTGGTAGATTTTTAAACAATGCTGTTCGTGTACTCATTTTGAGCTCAAGATAGTTATGTTTTTCAAGCTCTAACTTAAGTGTGCATCAGGGAAGTTTGCACTTTGTCAAAGAATGAGCAGGAGTAGGGGGATTAGTAGGAAAAATACTGTTTTACCCATCATTTTTTAATCGTTTTGCAAACATAAGTATAATTCTAGCTATTTTACAGGTGGAGGATGTTTCTCCTAAGTACCCCAAATTCATGATAATCTGTGGAAGAACATATCCTAAATCAATATAGGCTGTAAGCCTCACCTCAGTGCTCGGGAAGATCTTGGAGAGAATCATCAAGGAGCACATCTGTGGGGGGCCAGCAGGGGAGATCATGCTCATGAGCAATCAGCATGGGTTCATCAAAGGCAGGTCCTTGGATGATGGTGTCACCATGGACGTAGTCTTTCTAGACTTTAAGAAGGCCTTTGACACTGTCACTTACCCCATCCTCATCAATAAATTAAGCGACTGTGGCATTGATGCCTGCACATTTGAATGAGGAAAAAATTGGCTGATGGGGCGCACCCAGAGAGTAGTGGTGGACGGGTTGTAAACCTGGCGAGATGTGAGCAGTGGGGTACCCCAGGGCTCGGTCCTTGGGCCCACACTGTTTAACATCTTCATCAGTGACTTGGACGAGGGGGTGGAAAGCACGCTGTCCAAGTTTGCTGATGACACTAAGATGTGGGGTGAGGTGGACACAATTGAAGGGAGAGAGAGGCTGCAACTAGATTGAGACAGACTACAAAAGTGGGCAGATGAGAATAGGATGGGGTTCAATGTAGACAAATGCAGGGTGCTGCACCTTGGGAGAAGGAATCCACAGCACACATACAGGCTGGGGAGTTCCCCTCTTGCAAGCACAGAGGCAGAAAGGGATCTTGGAGTCATTATTGACTCCAAGGTGAACATGAGCCGCCAATGCCAGACCGCAGCCAGCAAGGCCAGCCATTCCTTGTCATGCGTCCAAAGGTGCATCTCAAGCCAGTCCAGAGAGGTGATACTCCCCCTCTATGCGACTTTGGTCAGGTCCCAGTTGGAGTACTGTGTCAGGTACTGGGTGCCGCTCTTCAAAAGGGATGTGGCCAGCCTGGAGAGGGTTCAGAGGAGGGCCACCCGCTTGGTGAGTGGGCAGCAGGACAGGCCCTATGGGGAGAGACTGAGGGACCTGAACCTGTTCAGCCTCAGCAAGAGGAGGCTGAGGGGAGACCTAGCGGCTGGTGACAAGCTCATCAGGGGAGATCAACGGCAAATAGGTGGAGCCCTTTTCTCCCCAGCACCACCTGGGGTGACAAGGAACAGTGGTCATAAGCTGATGGAGAATAGGTTTAGGTTAGAGATCAGAAGGCAATATTTTACAGTTAGGGTGGCCAAAATCTGGAACCAACTTCCCAGGGAAGTGGTCCTTGCCCCTACCTTGGGCAAATTCAAAAGGAGGTTGGATGATCACCTGTCTGGGGTCTTGTGAACCCAGCATTCATTTCTGCCTTTGGCAGGGGGTCAGGCTAGATGATCTGTTCAGGTCCCTCCTGACCCTAGCTACTATGAAACTATAAATACCAATCCCTTCTAAATTAGCTATGACTTTTAGACATACATCCTAGCTTGAAAAATTGGAGCCACCAAATAAAGTCCTGCTGATGGTGTCTTGCAGGCCTTGGTTTTGTTTTCAAAAAAATTTGCACATGGTTCCTTGACTTCCACCATAACTTGAATAGAGCTACATTTAAATGCCAGTGTCAAGCAATTCAAGCATGTTGTAAAGAAACGGGTTAAAGGCCCTGTGTCAGGCTACTTTCAGTGAAAACTTATATAATTTACTAACAGCTCTGGTCTCTGTATAGTGCATCTGTTTTATCCTTCTTGGTTTTCCAGAGTCTTAGCTTCGGTTTATTTTATGATTGAAGAACAGCGGTAAGACCTTGTAAACTTCCAGGTTTGATGTAGTTTTTGTTCATTGTTTCCTTATGTTTGTCATTCTCTCTCTTTCTCTCTCTCTCTCTCTTACTGTCGTTTCTGGATAGACAGATTTGTAATTTCCATTATTTTCGAATTTCCAGGATAGTGGACTCCTGTGTGAAAGAATAGGACATTTCTTTTACCTCTAAATTTGTCATACTGTAGGTTTAATTTAGGCTTATGAAACTTGACAAGTCTCCCTTTAATAATACTTTTTCATAGTGAAGCTGTGAGGATGAATTAGTTGATATTTATAAAGCACTTGTAAGAGGGTAAATTGCTTCAGAAGTGTCTAGAATTACTAATTTATAATTTATTTTAATAAAAAAGATGGAAGGGGATTCTCAGCATTGACTTAAATAAGTTCTATAGCATTACCATCCATTTGCATTTTGCATAAATGTCTTTTTTTTTATTTTAAGAAAGTATTAAGCCTGTGAATAAGTGTTTTACTGCCTACCAAAACTGCATGGTCTCCTTTGCTTTTGTAGCTTTTAGCAAAAAGCTGAGGCAATGATGTAGATTTAAAAAAAATCAAAAATCAGTTTTAAATAAATACATTCCTAAATATAGTATTAAGTTTGAAAAGATTATTTCTTACCTCATTTAATTGTATTCAGTAGAAGTTACCTTTGCATAGGGGCATACCATCTTTCAGTTAAAAAAGATAGTTAAAGTGAGGAACAATGATCTTCGTTGACAATTGACAGTTTAACATTGATCCTTAACTACAAACCCAGAAAGTGGATTTTGCCAACAACATACAGTTGTCTCTCACATTAGCAGCACTATCAATTGGACTGTGGTGGACCTTTGATAGATCACGAAGTGGTTTTGGTCTTGGGATAGGAATTGCTTTCCTGGCCACCTTGGTGTCCCAGCTTCTGGTCTACAATGGTGTTTATCAGTGAGTGTTGACTTCTTTTTTTAAAAGGGTTTTCTTTCTTATACAAAATATTTTACCTAGAGTCTGACTTACCTTAAGCCCCACACCTAATAACATATGTTGATGTAACTTTACTTGGACAACTCATATGAGTGCTTAAGTGACTGTGAGACTGAGATTTTGAAGTATATATTTTTTTAGGACATGTCTTCATTTTTATGCCCTATAGCAGGGGTTTTCAACCTTTTTGTATCATTGTACCCCTCTGTGGCCAGACGCGGGGCAGTGTACCCCCAGCTGCCCGGAGAGGGGGGGGCGGCTGAGGGAGTGGTGTGTGCCTGGACACCAAGTGTGGGAGGGTGGCACATGGCCAGATGTGGACTGTCAGCACCCGCACCCCCCATGGCTGGCCAGGGATGGTATGTGGTGGCACTCTATCCCTGCCCACATGCGCATACCCCCTAGGGCCTTCTCAGGTACCCCAGGGGTACGTGTTCCCCTGGTTGACAACCCCTGTCCTATAGGTTTAAGCTCAATAATAAACACTTGCATTGCTTTCTAGATATACATCTCCAGACTTCCTTTATGTCCGTTCCTGGTTACCATGCATATTTTTTGCTGGTGGCATAACTATGGGGAACATTGGAAGACAACTGGCAATGGTAAGTGTTGGGGTTTGTTTTTTTTCGGTGGGGGGGCCTTGGCATTAAGTATGTATTAGTGGGTATTTTAAAAACTAGTCATTCTGCATGCTGCTTTTATTAAAATTGATTATGAAGGCTGAGATTGAAAAATACTGAAGATAGGCTTCAGTGTGGTCGGCATACCACTGAGTCCATCAGAGAGGTTATACCCATTATTGTTCCCTACATATACAACAACATTTCCCAGTTTATCATTAGGGACCTACCAAAATTGGAATTGCATGATTTTTGTGGAAACTGAGTTTGGGTGGGCTCTGGGGAAAATGTTGGGTTCTGTGATTTTTGGTGTCTTGCCACCAAAAAAAAACCCCCAACCAACAACAAAACCCAGCAAGCAGAGAAAAGGCTAGGAAGCCCCGCAGCCTTAGAATACAGAGCAGGGTAGCAAGGCAGGGCTTCTTGCAGCAGGAGGCATGGCCTGCAGCCTCTGCATCTCGTGCTATGAGCAGCCATGCCCTTCCACCTCCGCTTTCCCCTCATGCTACAAGATTGCCAGTAAGTTTGTTTTTTAAGAGAGCTCACCAAAATTGCAGAGCCTGCTGCTTGGGGATGGCCCAAGACTATGGTTTAATGACCCTGCTTAAGCTGGGGGGAAGCCATTATTAATCCACGCTTAAAAATATGTGGATTAATGGCTTCCCCAGGCTCAACCAGGGTAATTAAGCTGCAGTTATGAGCCATGTACAAATCTGCGGGAAGGGGTGGGACTGCCAGAGCCCCCCACCCAATCAGAGGCATGGGGGGCAGGGAGGAGAGGCCACTGCACTCAGCCTGTAAAAATGACATCCGGCCCCAGGATCTACCTGCAAAATTGGCCAGCCACCTCTTCAAGTTCAGTAGACCCCTATTTATCATACTTTGTCCATTCTGTGTATACACAAGTCTTTGCAGGATTGAGGTCTAAATAAGAACTCCATGTCCAGAGTAACAAAACTGGTTAATTTTAAGTTGGTGCCTTATGTGGTTAGGTTGTCTAATGCTGTGCAAGAAGTGAGAGATTTTACCCCAAATGGTAGCTGAAAAACTGTAGTTGAACAAATGAACAATGAACAAAAAACTGTAGTTGGTTAGGGTGCCGTGTGATTCATGGCTACTTTAGTGTGGGAGGAGTTTGGGCAGAGCTGTTATGTCTGATTATGTAGGTATCACTCTTTCTCAGCTGTCTTTCTCAATCAGAAATTAATTGTGCAAATCTGTTTTCCCAGATATGTATTTATGTCAACTGCCTTTGGTTGTTTTGCAGTACGAATGCAAAGTTATTGCAGAAAAATCTCACCAGGACTGAAGAAAGAGAACATGCACCTTCTTTGCAGGAAAATGTCCAACAAGCAGCTATCAGAAGAACATATGCTATAAGGAACATTTGATTATAAAATTGCCAAAATGCAATTTTTTTCCCTTGAATGGTATACATTACTGCAATCTGTGATTGCCGCTTCTATAAGTCAGTTAGAAACCTTGGTGTCTCTGATTTGATTACTGTGAAGTTACAGTAGTATGCAATACATTTGACAATATTGGTTCATGGATAGGATTTTTTTTTTCTGAATCTAAACTGTTTACCATATGTCATTGTCTTTCCACAATGTTGCAGTGCCAAACTGACATGTGTTACTGTATACTGTAGCTGAAAATTCTGCTTCACTTTGTCTGGGCAAATTAAGGAATTGATGTTTTCAATAGTTTTGCAAAAAAACAGGAAATTTAAGAATAAGTATGAAAATCTTTTAAGTTACCATTTGTGGCTAGTTATTTTTATTAGTTTACGTGAGTTACAGGTGAGCTGCAGTGGCAATAAGGAAACTTGAGGTAAGTCCGTAAGTTTTCTAATCCACTCCCTTTTTCTTTAAATCCCGCCATAGTTGAGAGATCTTATTTAGGGCATGCCATCTCTCATTTTCCTATTATTTGTCCCTAAATGATGCATCCTTAGGAAAATCTCCACTGAATGTGGAAAGAGAAGCTTCACTGAGGTGGGAAATTCTTTAGAAAACAGAAAAAAGGAAGCTGAAATCTAGTTTAGAATTTGCTTTCTTTTAACACACAGACCTGCAGAGTGTCTGTTAGTTAATGGTCTCTTTCTTTATGCAGGTCTGGATTCTAAAATTATCATCACACTGAGTTGCACCTTATTTTGCCAATAGTCCTGTCAAAGTCAGTAGGACTACTTATGGTGTAAGGTGCTATTTTAGGTACTTATGTGGACCCCCCTTCCCTCTTTCTCATTATTGTAGCATTTGAGCACTTTGCACTTGTTCATGTATTTATCTTCCTTGTGACACAGGGAAGTGCTATTTTCCCCATCTGCACAATGGGGGGCTACATTACCTGACTAAGGTCACGCAGGAAATACGTGGTAGCGCAAAGACTTGAGTTCAGGTTTCCTAAGTCCTTGGCTTGGATCTGAATTATTTCTGTTCTTGAGAGTGAGTAAGGATGTTGAACTCTACCCCAGATTTGGGCTTACACCCTCATTTCTCTTTTTTTGACTTGGTAATTACCTTTTAAGTATACAAGACAGAGCAACTTTGGTGCAAGTAGGTACAATCCCATTGCTTTAAGCAGAACTCTGACTATGCCAACAGAGAATGTGACCCAGGGCCTCCCCACTCCTTGTTTGTAGGGTTTCTGTCTCTTGTCTTGATGTCATTCAAACAAGTTCCTTTATTGTGTTTGGAATGATTATTATTATTATCTTTTAATTTTCCACAAAAGGTTTTTAAAACATTTTACAGTCACCTAAGGAGACTGGAGTTGGTCCAAAGAACAAATATATGTTTAGATAAGTTTTATTAAAAAATAACTGTATATGTATGTGTTGTACATGAAGCTTGAAATAGGCATTTTTTCAGTGTAATGCACTTATATCTGATGTCTGAAAAGTATGCAATGAAATGCCTCCCAAAGCATGTCACATAAATAAGGGGCACTGGAAGTAAGAAACTTTAGAATGGATAAAGTGAGGTTTTTTAGTTCTTAAATAAGTGAATAATCTATGGAGAACTCCATTCAGCAGTTCCACAATGTTTCATGGCTCCAATGTTACAGCTCCACAACAATTCAGCACCTCAGGCACCTTTTCACATATTAGTCACAACTCAGGAAAGCACTTATGTATGTGCTTTCCTTAAGCAAAAGGTAAGCATGTGCTTAAATGCACTCCTGACTAGAGATGTTTCTCTTGATCAAGGCCATGATAAATGAGGCACCCCTAGACACTATGTTAATGAAGGGTATAGTTGTCATAATAAGTCAATAATGGGTATCAAAGTTGAGAGTGTGATTCTGTTGTAACTGTAGTTAAATAATGTGGTACCTCAGATTCTAGAGGGATAACTTGTTAAGTGTTGACTTCCATGGTGACCAATATGCAAGTACAGCTTGGGGGATAAGTCATTTCTTATTTGCTTGATGACAGAACTCTTTACATTTATTGGTTTAAATACCTGTAGAGAATAAGATCTGTGCATGTTGAAATGTGCAGTATATGAAAAGTGGTTATTGTGCATTTGTGGCACCCGCTTTTCAACATTTTAAATCCATATTCATTTAAAAATTGTTAGAAGAGACTATACACTAAACTTTTCAAATTTCATTTTTGAAATGTTAAGCTGGTTGTGCAAAGACGCAAAAAAAAATCATCCAAAATAAATTTGGGTGGACTCCTTTATTATATAGATATTATTTTTTTAATTCTTATTTGACTAAAATTGATTGAGAACCTTGTATGCCATATTTTCAAACTGCATTGTAAGTTTCTGGCTGAAATACTTAATACATTGCAAAAAGGTTCATAATGGGAATGCTGACACAGCCTTAATGATAGTGGTGTGCATATGCTGCTACTCTATAATTACAATATTAGACTGTCTTCAAAAAGTTGTTCAATATAGAATGAATAAGGTATATTTTAGATACAACTTTATAAGCACTATAACCTTTTCACTAACTATGCGTTGTAAGGTCTATGCTGTTTACTTCTGCAAATTGCTGTTAAAAGCAAAATGTGTATTAAATATAATTACAAACATGTTTGACAGGTTTTTTTTTTCTTTTGAATTCTTTTTCATAATTACACTGAATCAACCTATGAGAGTGATCATATTATAATTTTGGCTGCTGAGTGGATATAATAGTTTCCAAAACACACCCATTAAATACTAGAGAAAAAGCAAGCCAATTTAATAAAGGGAGAGACCATCTATGTTTCTGATGGCTGTGACACTGACCTTTGGCTCAAAATCTGACATTTTTAATATAGTACAGGACTATTGGGGCTGGGTGGAGAATATGTACAAATAAACAGTTCATGATAAAATTGGTTACTGTGCAGAAAATCAAGATTTAGAAATAAGGAGTTGTTATAAAAATAGGAAGAGTGGTGATCTAATAAGATCTTTATTGCATTTATTAATGATCTGAACTAGATGTTGCTGAACACTAATTTCACAGCATTAGTTGGGTTCATCAAGTTCAGTATTTTGAGGAACTTCTAAGTAATTCATAGTTTCATAGCAGGTAGGGTCGGAAGGGACCTGAGCAGATCATCAAGTCCGACCCCCTGCCGTGGGCAGGAAAGAATGCTGGGGTCAAACGACCCCAGTCTCCTTTTGAAGACCCCCAGGGTAGGAGCGAGCACCACTTCCCTTGGAAGTTGGTTCCAGATCCTAGCCACCTTGACTAAAGTGTAGTGCCTCCTGATATCTAGCCTGAATCTACTCTCTGTCAACTTATGGCCATTATTCCTTGTTACTCCCAGTAGTGCTCGGGGGAACAGGGACTCTCCCATTGCCTGCTCGTCTCCCTTGGCCAGTTTATAGATGACCACCAGATCCCCTCTCAGCCTTCTCTTGTGGAGGCTGAACCAGGTTCAGGTCCCGTAGCCTCCGCTCGTAGGGCCTGCCTTGCTGCCCCCTGATCATGCGAGTGGCCCTCCTCTGGACCTTCTCCATGCTGTCCACATCCTTCCTGAAATGCGGCGCCCAGAACTGGACGCAGTACTCCAACTGCAGCCTGACCAATGTCACATAGAGGGGGAGGATCGCCTCCTTGGAACTGCTTGTGATGCATCTGTGGATGCATGACAAGGTGTGGTTAGCCTTCCTGACTGCGTCCCCACATTGGCGGCCCATGTTCATCTTGGAGTGTATGATGACTCCAAGATCCTTTTCTGCCTCTGTGCTGACAAGAAGGGAGTTCCCCAGCCTGTAGATATGCTGCTGGTTCTTTCTCCTTAGGTGCAGTACCTTGCACTTGTCAGTGTTGAATCCCATTTTGTTCTCTGCCCACCCCTGTAACCTGTCCAGATCCAATTGCAGCCTGCCCCTCCCTTCCAGTGTGCCCACTTCTCCCCGCGTCTTAGTGTCATCCGTGAATTTGAACAAGGTGCTTTTCACCCTCTTGTCCAAGTCGCTGATGAAGATGTAGAACAGTGCAGGCCCGAGGACTGAACCCTGAGGGACCCCACTGCCCACATCCCTCCAGGTCGAAAATGACCCGTCCACCACCACTCTGGGTGTGGCCCACCAGCCAGTTGGTGACCCATCTGACTGTGTAGGCATCAACACCATAATCTCCTAATTTTTTAACAAGAATGGGGTGAGAGACAGTGTTGAAGACCTTCCTAAAGTCCAGAATACGTCTACCATGACACCTGTGTCCAAGGATCTTGTGACCTGGTCATAGAAAGCCACCAGGTTGGTCTGACAGGACCTGCTTCTAATGAACCCATGTTGGTTGCCCCTAAGCATACACTCCCCTGCTAGCCCCTCGCAGATGTGCGCCTGGACAATTTTCTCATAAAGAGCTTCCCCAGGACTGAGGTAAGACTAACAGGCCTGTAATTTTCTGGGTCCTCCTTCCTCCCTTTTTTGAAAACGGGGGCCACATTGGCCCTTTTCCAGTCCTCTGGCACCTCACCAGAGCACCATGAGTGCTCGTAAAGCTGTGCCAGGGGTCCTGCAATGACTTCTGCTAATTCTCTCAGCACTCTGGGGTGGAGATCATCAGGGCCTGCTGATCTGAACACGTCCAGTCCCACCAGAAGTTCCCTGACTAGGTCCTCTCTGACCCTGGGCCCAGCTGTGCCTCCCCTGGGACTATTGGGGATCCTGGTGGGAGGGGATGACCTGGTCCCTCCTCAGAAAAATGGAGGCAAAGAAATTGTTAAATAGGTTAGCTTTGTCATCTGGTGAGACCACCAGATTTCCTAGTGTGTCCTGCAGAGGCCCCATGTTACCCGGTACCTTCTTTTTACTCCCTATGTATTTAAAAAAGGATTTCTTGTTATCCTTGATCTGGGTTGCTAGTCCCAGTTCCATCTCCGCCTTGGCCTTCCTAACAGCCCCCCTACAATCCCAAGCAACGGAGGTATAGTCCTCCCTGGTGATGGTCCCTCCCTTCCATTGGGTGTACACCTCCTTTTTAGGTTTGAGACGTTCCTGGATGCTTTTGGTGAGCCATGGGGGCTTTTGAGCACTCTTGCCCACTTTGATCCATGTTGGGATTGTCACCCGTTGGGCTTGGAGGATCGTCTCCTTCAGGAACAACCACTCTTCTTGGAGTCCCAACTCCCCACCCCTCCGGGACCTCAGTGCCTCCCCGACTAGTCTCCTTAGCTCAATGAAACCCACCCTCCTGAAGTCCAGGGCTGCTGTCTTGCTGCAGGCCTTTGCCACCCTGCGCTGGATGGTGAATTCCAGTAGGCGATGATTGCTACCACCCAGGTGATCGAGCACCTGCAGTCCCCTCACCAGGTCATTGCTTGTGGCTGGGACCAGGTCTAACAAGACATTTCCCCTGGTGGGATTGTGCACCTCCTGGGTTAGATGGAGGTCCTGTAACGTGGCTAGGAACCTACATGAGCGGTCAGACCTGGCTGACTGGTCTTTCGAGCAGATGTCCGGATAGTTTAGGTCACCCATGATGACCACATCCTGTGACTTAACTGCCTCCGCGAGCTGACCTAAGAATTCCCTGTCTAACTCTTCTCCTTGGTTGGGTGGTCTGTAGTAGACCCCACTGTTAAGTCCGTTTCCCTCCTCCCCCTTGTATTTTGACCAAGAGCACTTCAGTCTGCCCCTCCTCTGACCCAGTGCTGTTCACTAAAGCTGTCTCAGGGCAGTTCCATTGTAATATGTATGAGCGTTCAAAATGCAAGATAATATAATACTAGAGAGTTCAGTACAAATCATTCATACACATTAAAGTACTGTTTCATGGTGGAGATTTGAGTTAATTTGCAATGAAGGGAGACACTTTTTATGCTTCCTCCTGAATATTCATTTTCAGTTTTAATCACTCTATTTCAAAAAACAAAACACGAATGTGGTGGAAAGAAAATGGTCTAAACAATTGCAATCACTGAAAATGAGGAAAGGTTTTAAGACTTTACACATGAACATAGGAAACACAGACCTATGTCCCTTTTGCTATAATGATTAATGTTGACAAAGACTGGGAAAGATTAAATTTACATTTGGGATTCAACATTGTCTCATCCCGATCTCATGTAGTTAGAAATATTGTGGGAGCAGATTATCTCAAATTGACTGGCTACAGGGATATTACAGTTTCGTCTAAGGCATCTGGTGGTGGCAGCGTTGAAGACAGAATATTGGCCTGGATGGAGCTTGGCTCTGACCCACTATCGTAATGCTTGTGTTCTAAATGACAAGGAATAACTTGTAGGGAGAAGCTTCTTGCCATTTAGCAGTTAAGTTATGCTCTGAAGATTGGGGATGTATATCCTTTATGTAACACGATCTATAACTGGATGATGCAATGTCTGAGTGGGGAAAAGTAAAAAGATTAGGATTACTTGGTTTAGAGGGGAGGCAAATAAGTGGTGCTATGATATATTTCATGTAATAAAACATGGTATAAAGAAGACCCTTCCATATCTTGTTCTCAATACCACACCAAGCAGCCAAATCAATTAAACTATGAGACAGCACGTTTCTTCTCTTTAATAATATACTGTGATACTTCTTAACTCAGATTGTTTCACTGTTTATCTTGACTGCCACTATCTCTATTTTTTTATATCCTTACAACTGTTTTTATCTCTGCATGTGCCTGGATTGTAGACTCTTTGTGGGTAGGGACTGCCTTTTTATTTGTAATGTCTAACAAAACAAGCTCTTGGCTCATAATTGGGGCTTCTGGCCATAACTGTAATAGAAGTAATGGTTTTGAAAACACATTACACATTGAGTTGTTCCTTTTATCTGTTTACCTCGATGACCCTAGGTAGCACTGAGGAAAAGAAGATGGTCAAGTTAAAGATTAGATGCTCATATGAGTAATAGGAATAGCCATCGTTATGCCATCAGAGGAGAAAAGATTATGCATGTAGCCATCCTCATACTTCAGGACAAGCCTATGGGTTGTGTAGTGTTAGGAAACATCCTCCATAGGGAGATTATTCTTTAATTGTCCTTAAAGGGGAAGTTTACATACTGTATTTACTTAAATATAAGATGAGGTTTTTTTCTACAATCAACATGGGAGCAGGGGAGAGGGAAAGCCCCTTATCTTACATTTGCGTACAAGGAAACCTCATAAAATATATTGCCTAACTCTGAACTGCTGCCAAAAGCAGCATGTGCTCAGAAATAGAAACCATCCATGAAGTTGATTAAATGAAGCCATACTGAGCATGACTATAAAGTGCATGGCCCATATGGGGCAGCCATGCTCATGGGAACTTTTTTTTAAACAAATTTTATTAAAAACAATTATCGACTTACACTTATAAAGCTATACATACTGAGCATCCTTATTTTACCAAGACTTAATATCATAGAAACAACTACATATCAAAAACATACAGCTATATATATTAGACCCTTAAGCAACATGCATCAATTTCCCATGAAAAATAAAACCCCTTACAGAAATCTTCTTCTTCATACAAAACCCTATGGTTACCTCAGTAACCACCTGAAACTCTTTGCCCCTCCCATCAGTCGTCTCTGGTTTAGTGAAACAAGTTTATCCAGTCCTTTTCCCTCTACTTCATCTCCTCCT